AATCCATAGCGTGAGCGAAAGCTACCTGTATGTCTACGGTTTCCCAGACAGCATACAGCGATATCTCCCCTGTGGGTAACAGACTCAACAAGGCAATTTGGTAGCCATCTTGTGTATCTCTATCTATCTGCGTGTTATTATGTTGGGAAGTTGTAGACGGAAGATTTAGGGGAATTTGGTTTGTCGGGTGTTCTAATATGGCACCCTTATGTGGTTGCGGAGCAAGCGCGTCTCGGGGTGTGTATATTTTCGTCACCAACTTATTTTTTGTGTGTGATGTATGGGAGCATGTGCGGGACGGTGTTGTGTAATTGGACGTCATTAAATAAGCGAAGGGCACGGGAGAACATTATCGCATCATCATTGCCGCCTGACGCGGCCGCCGATAGACTCGAGAGGCGTGTGGTTGAGGCTTCATCACCGACATGTGAGTGTGTGTTAAATGCAGTGGGTATGGTCACCTATCTCGCCCGTGTGTCTGCAGAAAGAATGGCTACCTTTCCCATTTGTAGACAGCGCGGACCATAAGTAAAGACAGAGTGTATCATTTCATGAATCTACATCAATTGTAGCAAAGAAAGGGAGGAAAAAAAGGGGGAGTACTCCCTGTGTCCGTGTTGTTCCCAGATGTTGTCGCATCAAGTGGTAGCACGTGTCATGGACAGATAGACGTGGAAGGGCAGCAACAGGTGAACGGCAGCAGCAGTATGTTGTGCATGGTGGCATGTTGGGCTTGTACAAAGACGCAGTCCATCTTCGACCACACACAAAGGAGTTTGTTCGTACTTGTCGGGGGGTGGAGTAGCTCAGACGAATGGCTGCGTGTGCACTCCTTCATGTGCATTCTTGGCTGACTCTTTGAAGGGTAGGATTCTGGTTCAGTGGAATTTCGGCATTTCGGCATTTCCGGTACTTGCCGTTGTAACCTGGATGCATGAAATTTTGGCGAGGAAGTCGGTCATAAATTTGTCACTCTACTTGCAAGGGACACGTTTCATTTTCAGTGTTCCCCCTTGCGGTTTCGCTTGCCAGCATTAATTAGTAGATCAGAAAGGGTACGCAGGACCAACGTCGCCCTTGTGGACCAAGGTTGACAGGCTGCTCCATGCCTTGGTATTTTCTTGTACCCACAGCAGTACTAGTGTCGCTCATGATTGACAGCCGACAATATATATAGCAAAAAACGCCCCTTTCTGGAGAAGAATGGACGACGAAATAAGAACTTGGCAAATAAGAACTTGTGGTCGGGTTGGGGCAGCCAATAAGAACTGAGCCTCGCCCAATATAGGAGGTTCTGTGCCGGCAGGCACTGTATGCACGGTCAGACAAAACATTTTACCGCGCAACGGTTTCAGCACACCAGTCCCACGACACCTGTTTCGACCATACTGCATAGAACTGCTTGCGTCAAGTCACATCGGAGTGCATCCACTGTAGTCTGATTTGCCGTGCGTACATTTTGTCAACCCTGGCGGGGAGTGTTCTCGTAGGAATTCAGTGTTGCTATTCATGACCTACTCGTTCAACTCTCCCTGGCGATCGCTAGCTCTTCAGACCCGTCGTCTTCAATCGATTATTGCAAGACACTCCCACACGACACTTCCATCAGCAACAAGCTCTACCTGGGCCGAAGACACTCGCTCGTAGAGGTTCTGCAGTATCGTCTATCTTCGCATTTCGGGACCTTGTTTCATCGAATCAGAGGTGGAACACCGCAAGGCGTCATTGCGCAAAAAAATATGTTTCACGGTCAGCTTTGAGAAGGGTCGCTTGTAGAGAGAACTCATACGCATCTGAAACAAGACTGTGTTTTCGGTAGCACGACAGGGTGGTCGCATCAGTAGTGAAAGTTTTTCAAAATCTGTGACGTCCCAAAACACGTAGAACCTATGTCGCTGCAGAAATAGCGCTTCACGGAAACACGGTCTTCACGAGGTTCACTCGTTTATTCTTGCCGATGACATTCATGGGCAAGGCTTTCGGTGTCCCAAGTTGCGGTTTCGGCCTGAGCCCCGACTTCTTGCTCCCTATTATCCCCTTGTTCGCCCTGTGGCCACTCATATCTACGAGTATGCATCAAACCCTGAGCTGAGCCCATGCGCTTGCCGCAAGGGCACTTTCCTTGTACCTGGCAATTTCTGAGTGCGTGATATGCTTGACTCCTTTTCCTTGCATAATGAAAACCGTTCAGACAACTGCCCGACAACAGCTTCATCGCACTAGAAATTCGATTGGCCCGCCCCAAGGCCACGACCGCCTACTCCCTTGACTTATTTCTTGAGCTTGAAGTCGAACTGCAAGGATGGGAATTCTTCAGCAGGTCCGGCAGACACCTCAACCTGCCAGTAAGAAGGGAAAGAAGGTACGCTGTGATGTTACACTGGTCTACAGAAGGATTGATGTACATGAGTTGAAGGAGTTGAGAGCTGACATGATGTGTGTATGGATGGTCCCACATATACATAGGAAGAAGCTGGATAAACCTGGGTAAAATGGCCACTCCGTGCACGCCGTCAGCCGAAAAAAGGGAGCAATGTAAAGAATACTTGTTTGGCCCCCGTCGCGCTTCAGGATTTGGTTTCGCGAAACGGTTCGGCAGTCCTGTCCCGCGTCAGCTTGCGAATCTGCTCCTCTCTTTGTATCCTGTCTGGTGCCATGAAGCTAAGTAAATTGTACTTCTATTAATTGTGTGCATACATACAATCGACCATGGATGTATTGACACACAAAATACAACTACTACTGTAGACATGGTTGAAGAGTCCGCCGCGGTAACCTACAGATATTTACGGGCGAATCTTGTTCCCAAAATGTTCGCGTTCTCGAATTTTCCAGAGATACTGACGACTCCCATCTCTCGCAGTGGCATCTCGAGCACAGCACCGACATATTTCGAGGGTCATGCAATCATCGGTTTACATCGATGCTACGAGGAAATTATGTGTGCCGTCCGTCAGATATTGTCAAACAACGCGCAAGTTCTCGACCTGACTTGCGCCGACGGCGGAAAACACTGGCCTTGGGGTGCGACGCACGATTGTCTCAAGTGAGCACTGATTGCCGGATTTGAAAGCTGGCATCGGTTTGCGCATCGGCCGGTAACATCCGAGCGAATTGCGCACTAGCACTTATTCGCAAGAGATCGACATCGACATCGACATGTGTCACTCTAGAGGTCCAATTCCGAAGAAAGGACGCTCCTCTACTGCACGTGTAAACCGATGAATTGGGCAGCAGATATTCTGTAGTGAACACTCAACAGCGATCGATCAACGCGTGGGTGTAACCCTGGGTACTCACACATCCCAGGGCGCCATCGTACTCCCCGGTGCCCCCAGTGACGGCCAGAAAAGAGGGGAGAACCCCATCTTCGGCATCGAAGTTGAACGGGCCGTTCGCGGTGAGCGAGCCGTCGTCGAATACGTACGTGAAGAAGCACTCGGCAATGAAACCGCCGGAGGCCACGGTTTCCACACAGTGACCCTGCGGCATGGCGTGTCCTCAGCGTTTGAATTGATGAAAGCATCCTTGCTGTGATTAAGCATGCTATTTCGACTTGATCGACAGTTCAATCTCCGACAAGCTCCAGACGTAAGCTTACACTGCACACGCACGAGTCTTTCGAGGTAGTTTCCATAACGAACAATCGCGTATTCCCTCCGAGCGCTCGTTTATCGCCGCGAGAAGAGTGGTTACTGGTACCGTCCAATGTCGGGAAGAATGTGGCAAAATATTCGAGATCCTCGTGCGTGCGTCAAGCTCCAGGAAAGACGCCTACCAACGAAGTGTCCGCACTTTCTCGTGCTGACAGTACACAACTCTTAGCTTCAGATTCTATCGACGCACCTGATTGTACCCAAGGAGTGCGTCTTGAACCTCGTCGATCAGATCATCTTCAGAACCGTATAGGTCATTGTTGAAGAGGACCATTTTGGAGGGATACTCTACGTCCTCCGCCTCGGGCACGGGGAGAGTAAAGAGCGGGCTGTGACGAGGACCGTCATCGCTCTGCCTCTCGAAGACGGTAAATTCGACGGATCCTTCGTGTTTCCCCCTGGAAGCCTCCACGGTCGCAAAGCCCAGAAGAAGAGCGAATGCCACCGAAGCGTTAACGATGAAACGAACCATCCTTGGCGTACAGGGTCGAGCGAGTGGAAATTCACCTGCGGCCGGCCCCAACCGCGAGGGATGGCAGGATGATGAAGACGTGTCAATCGTTTATGTGGCGAAAAGTTGTCCAAGGAGAATTCAGTCAAAATATATACGGGAACAAGTTGGACAAGGCGTCCTGGGTTATCCGGCGCGTGTGAAGAGGACCGGTGACTCATGATAGAATTCCCTGTCTGAAGGCGTGGCGCGCTTTCTACGGCTGCCCGCGCCCCCACGACGACTCTAGCTGACTTGGTTAGGGTTGGAACGCTCGTGGTTCAGCCTTCGTAGCCTTCGTTGCCTCTGTACAGCTACATCATTATTGAGAGTGTCAAAATCAACATAGTTTGAATTCTTAGAGAACTGGAACGTTTTCCGGCCCGACTTCTTTCCAGAAAATTGGAAAACACCATGTATCCGACTTTGTTCCAGAAATTTGGAAAAACAACATGGCTCCGGTGGGCTACGCCCCCCTCGCCCTTCTACATTAACAAAGAGCTATGCATATATCAAGAAGCATTGGCCTCCCTGGCCTTCGGGAGAGCGACAGAGAGAGACGAGGCATTCACGTTTCACCACGTGTGGTTATCGTAAATGCGAGCCATCAAATGTGGCAACAACGTAATTGATTTGTTGCGTAATTGATTTGTTGCGCGATACGCGCGCAGTTGAGTGTGCAACCGCGGCGTAGTCTCCATATGTACGTACCATTTTGGCTTGTTCAAGGACGGGGAAGCGAGAGTAGGTGCCCTGTGAGGAGTAGGGCAAAGAGTGAAGAAGACGGGGCCATGATGAGATTACGTTCCGATGACATGAGAACGCGGTCCTACGGGCCCACAGGAAGGCATAGCTCATGAGAGGCCGAAGCCGTTGCCCGGCAAGGTCTCGCTAGGTTGCCCCGTACTATCTTCAGCTATTACAGTAGTAGATTCGTCTCAACGCACACGTACAAGACCTGTTTCCCGGAATGCCACGTTGAACATGGCGAACGAGGCAGACGCGTTGTTAGCGCTACTTCCACTTCTGCAATCAATCCTACTTGAGCCACTTCCCCCTGCAAACGGAACAAAATGCATAACCATATCTTGTACCAATAAAAAGAATTTTTGGCGGCTTCTGCCGCCACCCCCAGTGTGATCTACTCCCAAGACGCAGGGCGTGGTGTACGTCGAGACTCGTGTTTCGAGACGTATTTGGGTTGCGCGACACAATTATGTGTGCAAAGAATGAGTAGGTGGCCATGTCACGACAAACAAAAGAATCATTTTGACGGGTGCCAGGTCCATTTTCAGTATACCTGCTTAGGTAAGTTAGCCTGTGACCACGGGAGGACATGACCACGTCAAATGTTGGATTAGTACGGAGAGACTGAGACAGAAGGGAGGTAGTACTGGTTAGACCGGGGCGGTTCTTGAAATGTGAAGACAACAATGAAAACATCAGTAGTAGTGGATCCACATGTTTCATGTGGTGTCGAGGCTGGCAAAATGACGGATTGGGACTACGGTAGGCGGTGGGACGTGGTCGAGTCGTCGTGTGAGCCTTCGCTCGACGCCGATCCTAACTGCAACTTACTGGACTCTTGGCTGGTCAGGGTAGATACAGCAGCATTGGGCCTCAATAGTGCCGGTGGGTGTCCAGATACAAAATCGGCACTACACCGGGCACCGGCACTATTCAGAAGAGTGCCTCAAAAGTGCCGAATCGACACTAAATGAGGTCTCAGATATCCCCCATTAGTGCCGGTACTATTGAGGAGGTGCTTGATTTCATGGTGTGGCGCTCAAGCTTTGCAGGGCCTACAGAGTACAAAGTGGATCGACGTAACAATGGCATGAATAAATCACCGTTATTTTCTGCCCGCGTCCAGCACACGTACTGCACATCCTGAACGGCTGTCGCACGAACCAAATCCCTTGAAATGCGCATGTATGTATGGAGTAACGAACCAAATCCCTTGAAATGCGCATGTATGTATGGAGTATGTACCGCTCATTTTTTCCAGAGAGATGCACCAACAGCAGCCTAATTTTCTGTGGGCAACAAAGCAGTGGCAATGGCTTCACACGGATCACACTAGTTGGGTCGAGCTCAACAGCACTACTATTAGTCGACGGGGAAGGGAGACACAGATCATGGACCCTATCAACCTTTTGAGAGCAAAAGCTAAAGCGTGTCAAGCTCCCGGTCGTATCAACTTGGACATCAATATCAATACGTAGTGGACGAAGCTGAATCTCTGCCATTGTTGCGCCCTCCTTCGAAATGACATCAAAGAAACAAAACAAGAAAACCAAGACAAGTACGGCAGGAAGCGCACCGCAAGAAAAACAAACAACGAACCATGTACTGCTGAACCCCCCGCCCTCACCCCGTCGCGACAAATTTTCTCATGCCTGCATGGCGCACCCGCTTCGATTTTGCAATAAAAACACAAAAAACACAAAAACCAAGACAAATAGGACAGGAAGCGCGCGCGCGGGTGCGTGCGTCTCGTTACTATTAGCATCGACCGCGCTTACCGACTGACCAAAGAAAATATGTCAGTTTCAGTGTCTGTATGCCATGAGTGGGACCCCGTGAGGGGACGGCATGGGGGAGGCTAAGCTATTCTCCGGATGAAAGACAGAAACGATATGAACAGAAGACATATGCACGTACGTGTCGATGAAGGCTGCTACCTTGCACTCTAGCTCGTTTTGGTGTGCTTTCATCGTCATCCTCCTTCCTTCCAACGCCATCGTTCTTACTATCGTTTTCACAGCAACTTTTCGACATTTATTCTCTGGCCCCCTGCGCCGTTAATGGTGGTGAAAGGTCAAATGGCTCGAAGCGTAGTGAACCGGCACCATTGTGGGGCCCAGGGGTGGTGCCAAATCGGCACTGTTGAGGGCGCCGTCTGTGTCCAGAGATTCGAACGGCACTATACCGGGCACCGACACTATTCAATCGGCGTTATTGAGGGCCGAGCTGTACACTAATGTACAGGGGGCCCGACAACCAGGGTATGTATGTTGTTGTTTTCACATGAAAAACCATCCCGGTCTCTCTATCCAGTACCTCCTTCTGTCTCAATCTCTCCGTACTAATCCAGCACTTGACTCAGTCAATTTCCGTGGTCACAGGCTAACGTACCTAGAAAAGGTATACCAAAATAAAATGGACCCCAAGGGTTAGCAGAGCGATACTAGACCCCGAATGGGGGCAGTTTTTTCCGCGCGCACCATCACAACAGCATAACCCGTGCTGCGGAAAGTACCTGCAGTAGGCTGGGTCGTGCGCCCCCCGTGAATATGTGTTGCTTTTGTTTTGGTACACACACCCGAAATGTTGTTGATACGATGTTGTTGATGCGATGTTGTTGATGCGAATCGTTGTTGTCAGCACTCCGTATGCGTTAGTAAATGAACAAGTAGAAAAAAATGCCCCACCACTCAGAACATAGCAGCAGCAGAATTTTTGAACTAGCACGCGAGTTGTCGCCGATCGCGACCCCCTCCTCACTACGCCCTGTCGTGGTCTGCAAACCACACGCGAACACCCTCTGTGATATGCAGATAGTGAAAGCCGCGAGCTGTAGAGGAGGAGATGCGTGGTAGCTGGTCTGAACACGTGCCAAAGTTGGCCACTCGGTGTGGACGAGGTCAAAAAAAGAACACAGCAGCAGCAGAACCAAACCGACCGACACACACGTAGCAGCAGAACCAAACCGACACACACGTGTCCCAAATGACAGTTGAAGGACGCCGCAAAGAGAGGACAAACCGGGTGTGAACGAGTGACTTAGGGGTTAAATAGTGCAAGGAAACAACGACGCGAGAAGTGTTCACCTATTAGGAGTAGGCTTTGGCACTCGTTTTTTTTGCAGAACGTCGCCAATTGGCCCAGTTATCGATGAAACGGAGTGTGAATAGAGTACATATCGGCACCGAACGCAGCGACGCGGGCACGAAATGAGAAACGCTNAAAGAACACAGCAGCAGCAGAACCAAACCGACACATACGTGTCCCAAATGACAGTTGAAGGACGCCGCAAAGAGAGGACAAACCGGGTGTGAACGAGTGACTTAGGGGTTGGTGCAAGGAAACAACGACGCGAGAAGTGTTCACCTATTAGGAGTAGGCTTTGGCACTCGTTTTTTTTGCAGAACGTCGCCAATTGGCCCAGTTATCGATGAAACGGAGTGTGAATAGAGTACATATCGGCACCGAACGCAGCGACGCGGGCACGAAATTCCCCCCGCCCCCCTGCGCCCTTGACAGTGAGTGCTGTACTGGAGTACTGCCACACATCGCGGACAACCGTAGACTATGCTCTCCGCTGTTGTACGGGTTTGATTGCACTCTCAACCACCTCTCGTGAGGGCTTGATGATGTGGATTGTCCTCAGAGTTCAAAAGACAGAAAAAAGAAAACACAAGTACTTGTTGTAGTCTAAGGAATAAGAGAATCGGGAGGATACGACAGTCCAAAGGAAGAAGACATGCCATTTACGAAATGGACGACTTAGGCCGGTACTTCGACCCAAAAGAAGGGATTGAGGCTCGAACCGATTTTGACGTTTTTCAACTGCTGGCGCTATCTGTAGGATCGAACGTCCTCCAAGCGAGAGGTAACCTCGCCCTCGGTGAGGGACGAGGTTATGACATCGTAATAATCGCAATAAATAATGGACTCCCAATCCTAACTCAAAGAAAGGCAGATCGTTACATGACCTTGTTCATTTCCCTGGAGGAAGCATTTTGTTATATTACAGCGTTCGTTTGTGAAAAAATCATCTAGACTACAACGAGGTCCGGGTTTTCGGTGGATTAAGTGCTCCGCACCGTCTCTTCCATAAGCGCATGCTTTCTTGTATCTTCCATGACTTTGCGTGTAACAACATATTCGCCTGATTGAGAGCGAAGTATCTGATTGAGAGCGAGAGCCAAAAAAATTGAAATTTCGGGTCCAGACGCCTCTTGCCATTTCTTGGCAAGTAGGGGACGGGCTATTCCAAGAAGCGGTGCAAATT